GCAGAGACAGGGCGGTGCTGCCTGGGATGCACACCTCGGAGTGATGCTGACTGGCACAGACAGGGTGATGCTGGCCACGCTGTAGTGGGAAGACTCGAGTCTGAGGCTGGAGTTGACACATGGAGATCTGGGTGCACATCACTGTCTCAGCATCCCCCTGATTTCTTGCCCCAGACCCAATGGTGGTCTCTGAGTGGAAGAGATTCCAAGGCTGTTCTACCTGGGTCCAGAGACCCCAGATGACCCAGAAGGGCACAGACCTGCACAGACCATCCCTGCAGCAGATGCAGGGATGGATAGTGATGTGGGACCCCCAGCCAGCCCCGCTCTCGGTGCAGTCTGGGCTGTCACAGACCTGCTCTCCCTGGCTCCATGAGCCTGTTCAGATCTAATCGCTGTCTCCTGCCATGTAAATACAGACCAGAATTTCTCCTCAATCCCTTCCTGCTCCAGCTGCACTGGCACAGGTCTCTGGACCACCCCGGGGCTGGGAGCCAGCCAGGGCTGCCGGCACAGGACTGCAATGGCAGAGAACCCTTAATCCCACCAACCTACACAGGCTTGAGCTCCTGGTCAGTGTTTGCCCTTTGCATCCCCCTTCCAGGCACAGGGACTCCTTGGCAGCCCGTGGCAGGGGCACAGACCCTGCCAGCTGTCCCGGCTGGGGTCCCAATAGTCCCTGTGCTGTCCCCAGCAGGACAGGGCAAGACAAGAGGGAGCTGTGGGGTGCGTGATCCTGCAGGGATGCTCTGGGGTGCGGTCCCCACTGGCCGCCTCATTGCAGGGGATAACTCCCTTCTCTCCCTGCTCTGCCTCCTCCAGATGCGCAGTTCCATCCCAGGCCTGGGCAGGGTGATGGTGTTGCTGGCAGCAGCCCTGGCGTCAGCCTCCCTTGCCGTCCCCGAGGGCTGGGGAGAGGAAGGTGAGTCCCTCACTGAGTCCCTCGCACAACCCCCCACATCGCAGCCATGGGGACACTGGGGGCACCCCATTCCCCCCCCGAGTTGGGCACAAAACTACCAGAATCAGGGCATACACGAAACGCAGCCCCACGGTGCTGGGTGTCCTCTGGCCAGCCCCAGCCGGACCCAGTCCTTCCCAGTCCCCTGTGGTGGTACCTGCACGAAGCAAGACCCCACAGCCAGCACCCAGCTCCCGGGTGGGTACAGCTGCAGGCTGCCCACGCCGCCCCCCAGCCCTGGCACGGGGTGCTAACACCCGTCCGGGGATGTGTGTGTCCCTCCAGGTGTGCAGTACGGACAGGTCGGGACAGACGTGACCCTGTCGTGCACCGGTGTCCACGCTGGGTAGGTCTTTTCCGTGCACGCTGGGAGATTTATCCAATGGGATGGTTTACGGAGTGGGCCTGGGGTGACCCCACAGTCGTCCTCCTCTAATGCAACCTGCCTGGTCTGTCCTTCTCAGCTCACCGGTGCAATGGAGACGGGC